AATCTCACTCTCCCTCGGTATCTCTGAAGACTAATCACTGTTCCTGAACCCATGAACTCTGCTAATATACATATATGTGTGTGTGTGTGTGTATACATACATACATACACACACACACACACACACACACACATATATATACACATATATATATATGACCTGTTATCTAATTTTTAAAAAAATTCTCAGTGTCATGAAAAACTCTTAACCTTAGTGAGTCTCAGGATTCTAATCTCTAAAATGAGGTGATTAGATGAAATAATTTCTTCATAGTGTTTAACCTCTATTTTTATAGGGTTTACCCAGAATAAATAGTATAATAGTCATATGGTTAAATCTCTCAAAATTTTACTATAAATTCTTATACAGTAAAGTATACAAAGTTAATAGATGTTGCTTTTTAACCAGTAAATTTCAAATGTGGCCTATAGTCTTATTTTTGACTAAGCAAACCAGTTCTTGGTTTACATAATATCCTTGCATTTTACGTAAATCATGAACTAGCAGACATTTAGGATGCTAACTGTAATGTTTATAAAAGAATAAACTCTTGGAAATTTTATTTACTCTATTTTCCCTTTTATGGCTTTCCACTGACACACCCAGGTTGGCAGTACGCTACGGGGCGGCATTTACCCAGAAATTTTCTTCCTCTATAGCCCCACACATTACTACTTTTGTGGTACATGGGAAACAGGTAACATGCACAGAATTTGGAAACTCAAGCAGCTTGAAACGTGTGGGCTTATTTGCACTGTGAGGGTTAAACGTGTCTTTTGGTCTTTTAGTGTGTGGGCGAAAGCTTTATTAGAAGTAGGAAGTGTTTGTTTCACTAACTTTATCAGTCGACTTAATTTTCTACTAGTCCATCTATGTTGAGATTAGGAATATAAATGCTTTTTATAGGTCAGCTTTCATGGATATCCTGAAATTTAAAAAAATTGCAGCCAGTTTCAAACCTACATTTTTATTCCTCATCTAAAAGTTCCACATGAATTTTTTACTTTTGAGGGGAAAAAAATTGTCTAATGTATTGCATGTGCTGTGCTTTAAAAAACCCTGTTCTCTGTACTTTTTCAGAAACGTAAAAATAGCAGTGTGAATTCCTTCCCCCAACATTCTGGCTTTACCAAGAAAAAAAGTGCTGGTATTTCATTGTAGCACTTTCTAAAATTCAGAACTAAGTGAATCCTCTAATCAGAGGTTTGGTTATATAGGCACTGGAAGAAACACGATTTAAAATGGCTGTAGGAACAGGTCACAAATACTAGTGACAGACTTAATAATAGGTTTCTTAATGCAAAATTAGAGTACCCTCCTATTTCCTCCCTACATATTCTACTCCTGAAACAAAGGCATAGGAGGCTCCTTTTTTCTTCTTTTTAAATTGATAATGGCACCAATAATGTTTTGGCACAGCCTGGTGGCAGAGTTAAGAAGAAGGGATTCCTACCTATTGATAATTCTGGATGACCCTTCAGTCTGGGAAATTTTTGCTGTTAGGTCCTATGTCTTGTGCTGCATTTCCTCCATGTAGTTTGAGGAACCAACCATGTGTATTTCTAAGGGACCCCATTCCTTCATCATCTTTTAGATTTGTGAACATCTGGCCTGCTCTCTTCTTTGCCCCCAGGTCGGTTGTACGCCGTGCAGCAAGTCTTTTAAGTAAAGTAGTGGACAGCCTGGCCCCATCCATTACTAATGTTTTAGTGCAGGGCAAACAGGTAAGTATCTGCTTTTCAGACATTCACTTGGTCATATTACAAAATTTCTGGACAGTAGCCTTAAATTTAAGTCTGTCAAGCCTCATTGCCATAGGTCTCTCACAAAGAGATTAACAATGTCGCAGGCACTTCTCAAAAGACTTCTTCCACTAGCAAAATCTAGTCTTAAAGATGCAGTTATTAAATAGGCCATCTCCTTTTCCTGCTGTGCCTTAGAGCTGTAATTTTCAACTTCTGTGTTAATTCAAGATCAATGTAGATACTGATGTAGAAAATGGAATAATACCTATTGAAGTACTCCAGACAGATTAAGGACAGGTAGGAGCAAAGACAAGCAACTAGCTAAGGGCTTCCTTTTCCTTCTGCTCTACTTGAGAGTCACACACACACACACACACACACACACCCGCCTTAGAAAAGCGTTAGTGTTAAGGCAGAGTCAGGGTCTGCAGGTCTGAGGGATCCAGTGCTCCCTGGATCCTTCAACATCCAGGCCACTCCTTCCCCTGGCTTCTCCCCACCTACCTGGGCCTACTCTGTCATCCTCTCTTCTCCAGTTAGCAGTGGACTCTCTCTCCTCTGATTCTCTAACAGGCCTGTGACACTTCTCACAATCTTCCCCAGATCCCAGTTCATTTGAAGTTGTGTCTCACCTCATGGTAGGCAGGGAGCTCCCAGGACATGTCACTGTGTGCCTGGCTTGGGACCTGGCTTGGAGCAGGCACTTGATGAATCTGGGTTGGATTGAGCTTGTGCATGTGGTTATGCTGAGTGAGATGTGGCTGCTCATTTATCATTTTGTTTTCTGTAACCTCTATTTAACTGGCTGAATCAACCTTTCATTAGAATGAAGTCTGTTTGCTTTCTTTTCCTTCTTTAGGAATATATGTGTTTTATTTTGTTTTCCTGACAGCTAACCTAGGGATATAATAAGCTTTGGTAATATGAAATACTTTAACCCTCATTAGTAAATCATCCCATTGCTCAATATTTCAGGGCTCGTAATTTATTAAAATCGAAATCATTTCATCCTGACATCCAGCTTTTGGAATGTTAGAATAGCGAGCCATTTTTTCCCATAATATCTAATAACAGTAAAAATAATTGCACTAATAATTCCTGAGGAAAAAACGTTAAAATACTTTTCATATGTGTCATTTTTCTCTAAATTATGAAGAGGTAGAATTTTTATTCCTATTTTTTAACTAAAACAGACCATAGTAGTAGCCAGCGCCTTTCCTCAGTAGAATCCTCATCTCCAGCCACAGAGGCTCATATTTATTTTTCTGTTATTCATGATAGGGCCTATGCACTGTGAGAGGGAGGGAGGAAGGGAGAGAGAGAGAGAGAATTCCTTCCTTCCTGCCACACCCCAAGGGGACTGGTCTCACCACTATCTTTCTTCCTCCAATTCTCCATCCTGCCAGGATCCTGGGCACACACGCATGCATACCAAATGTGTTTATCTTTGGAACCAGGATTTGAACTCCAGCTAGCCATGTGGGATCTAGCTTTCTCTGCACAGTTCTTAACCACTGAACTGCAAGGCTGGGGCAAATCTTGTATTTTTCCCCTGGACCAAGCCACCTTTGAAAGAAAGTTAAAAAGGCTTTAGGAAGCTACTTTTCTTTAGATTTTTAGATCCCTCTACTGTGTCTGCAAAGAAAGTGAATTTTACTGCATAGGAGCATTCAGGAGATTTTGGGGATCTTTGAGGTCACTGGTATCTGATGCTAAGATAAGGGGTGGTCATGTCCTTTCTGTATAATATCTAGAGGGAGCTTGCAGCCTGTGGTCCCGAGACCCTGCTCTCACATCTTGGAAGCCTCCAAGCCTGCCCTGAGGCTGTGACTGGACCACTGCCCATCAAATTAGCCTGTATCCCAGGGAAACAGTCACTTACAGAGCTGGGTAAGCCTAGGAAGCCAGCAGGTCAGCATCATGACCGGGTGCATGAAATTCATTCACTGACCACACCTTACCTCTTCTCAAAAAAAGAAAAGAAAAGAAAAAATAAAAAAGAAATGAGAATGGAGCATTCAAAGTTTGCATTTGCTCATTTTTGAAATGCTGCTCTGAGAACTGAAGTAATATTGTCTCTCCAAAGCACTTGCAGATCACCCCCAAGCTCTCTGGAATGAAATAGTGGTTTAGTCATCATTGCTTCCAGAGGCAATGATGTGCCTTTTGTTTGTTTTCTTCTTTACACACTGACATTTTAATAAAAGTAATCACACTCAGACTAACGGTTGGTACCATTCGTGATGTTAAAAAACGAGCAGTTCTCAGTTTTCACTCCATTACCAAATTGGGGCAAAAGACCCCATGTTCTGCTCTCTCCCCTCATCTTTGAAAACACAAGTGCCCTTTGATGTGCCGTTCTTTTTCCTGCCTCTGATAATCATGCACATAGAAGACAGGTGGAAAGACGTAATGAGGAAGAGGAGGGGCTGCCAACTCCTCTGGCAAGCTGAACGTCGTCGAGAGAGGAGAGAAAGAGACCAGACTATTCCCCTTGCCAGCAGCACTTTCTGCTTTGAGCTTTCTTTGCCATCTCCCTCTGCGCGTCTTCCTTTTCCACGCTTGTGGGTCGCCTCCTTCATTCTGCAAGTGAGAGATCTATTATCAAGTGTTTTAGCCCTCACTAGGTGCAGATCATTATGCCAGGAAAAGTGAGGTCTATGCAAGAACTATGTGACCTCACACCTGCTTTTGAAAAGGTTACAGTGTTGTTAAAGAGCAAAGGTTCCGCCTGAGAAACTATAAAAGAATCAGAAAGTGTATCTCTGAAATACTAAATTGTGTAGACTGTGCAGTAAAGTAAAACTATTCAGTGTGTTCTGGTTTCTCTGGGGAGTTTCTAGAACTAAAGTCATTCAGAATAATTTTATCTTAATAGTTATTTATATTCCTTTTCTGCTTTTATCCACTCACCTCTACTCCCCCAGCTGGGACCCTCACCTGCCCTTATATTTTAGACCAGACTATGAACCATCATGAACTCCAGAGGGAGTCGTGCTTTGAAAGCCATTTTAATAAATAACAGGAACAGTTATTCTATCTAATTCCCCAGCTTGTATAGAGTAATTTCAGCCTGTCAGTCATCCTGAGCCCTACATTTTTTTTTCTTTTATCTTTCAGTAGCTAGGAGATTTTTACAATAAAATTCTGCCACTTGTAGGTAACTCTAGGTGCCTTTGGGCATGAAGAAGAGGTTATTGCTAATCCTTTGTCTCCACGAGTGATTAAGAACATCATCTATTATAAGTGTAATACCCATGATGAGAGAGAAGCCGTCCTTCAGCAAGAGCTGGTCATCCATATTGGCTGGATTATCTCCAACAACCCTGAGTTATTCAGTGGCATGCTGAAAATACGAATTGGGTAAGTAAAGTACTTTGCATTTTCATAAAGAGAATTGTTCAAGTTGTCCTCTAACAGACTTGCCTATCCAAGTAACGTGAAGCTCCAAGTGTCTTGTGGCCGTCTAAGAAAGTGCATCTTTCCTCTTAGCCATGAAGGAAACCTCCGGGGTATGAAGAAATACATACCAGTGGCCTGAAAGGACCTCCATGTTTGTTTAACTTCTTAGGTAGAAATAAGTAAAGTAACTCTGTTCCCTGGTAAAATCAAAGTTCAGGGATTTCAATAGCTGAATCATGTAAAACACTAAGCACAATACTTATAAAAATTCCTAAAAATAAAATGATAAGCCTTAAGAGAAGAATGATTTTGAGTAAAACTGTCAGGACACACTCAGATAAAAAATTGGTCCTTTGAATATTTTACTCCCATTTTCTGCCAAAATCTGATTTTTAATTATTAATATCGTAAGTGTTGTGTTTGGAGAAGAACTTGAAAGTAATGTTCTAGAGATCTTAATTATTTTTATTTTACTTTATTTTATTTTTACTTTTGTCAGAGAGCACATGCGCTTCAGTGGGTGGCCAGGGGAGGGGGTATGAGAAAATGCTCCCCATGGGGAATGGTCACACTCCAATCTTTTCTCCTTTTCACCCTCCTTTTGAGATTTTGACAATGCTTGCACCTGTGCCTGGCATAATTTTCAAGCTGCTGGGTTCAGGACTCCATCTATGCAGTGGATCATGTGGGATTCAACCATCTTAACCTCCACACTTCTAGCTGACCCAAGGTCTTAATTTTTTTTAAAAGAATAATTATAATTATCTTTTATTAATTTATTTTTATTAAATCAGAGATGTGAGGGAAGAGAGAGAGAGAGAGAGAGAGAGAGAGAGAGAGAGAGAGAGAGAGAGAGAGAGAGAGAGAGAGAGAGAGAGAGAGAGAGAGAGAGAGAGAGAGAGAGAGAGAGAGAGAGAGAGAGAGAGAGAGAGAGAGAGAGAGAGAGAGAGAGAGAGAGAGAGAGAGAGAGAGAGAGAGAGAGAGAGAGAGAGAGAGAGAGAGAGAGAGAGAGAGAGAGAGAGAGAGAGAGAGAGAGAGAGAGAGAGAGAGAGAGAGAGAGAGAGAGAGAGAGAGAGAGAGAGAGAGAGAGAGAGAGAGAGAGAGAGAGAGAGAGAGAGAGAGAGAGAGAGAGAGAGAGAGAGAGAGAGAGAGAGAGAGAGAGAGAGAGAGAGAGAGAGAGAGAGAGAGAGAGAGAGAGAGAGAGAGAGAGAGAGAGAGAGAGAGAGAGAGAGAGAGAGAGAGAGAGAGAGAGAGAGAGAGAGAGAGAGAGAGAGAGAGAGAGAGAGAGAGAGAGAGAGAGAGAGAGAGAGAGAGAGAGAGAGAGAGAGAGAGAGAGAGAGAGAGAGAGAGAGAGAGAGAGAGAGAGAGAGAGAGAGAGAGAGAGAGAGAGAGAGAGAGAGAGAGAGAGAGAGAGAGAGAGAGAGAGAGAGAGAGAGAGAGAGAGAGAGAGAGAGAGAGAGAGAGAGAGAGAGAGAGAGAGAGAGAGAGAGAGAGAGAGAGAGAGAGAGAGAGAGAGAGAGAGAGAGAGAGAGAGAGAGAGAGAGAGAGAGAGAGAGAGAGAGAGAGAGAGAGAGAGAGAGAGAGAGAGAGAGAGAGAGAGAGAGAGAGAGAGAGAGAGAGAGAGAGAGAGAGAGAGAGAGAGAGAGAGAGAGAGAGAGAGAGAGAGAGAGAGAGAGAGAGAGAGAGAGAGAGAGAGAGAGAGAGAGAGAGAGAGAGAGAGAGAGAGAGAGAGAGAGAGAGAGAGAGAGAGAGAGAGAGAGAGAGAGAGAGAGAGAGAGAGAGAGAGAGAGAGAGAGAGAGAGAGAGAGAGAGAGAGAGAGAGAGAGAGAGAGAGAGAGAGAGAGAGAGAGAGAGAGAGAGAGAGAGAGAGAGAGAGAGAGAGAGAGAGAGAGAGAGAGAGAGAGAGAGAGAGAGAGAGAGAGAGAGAGAGAGAGAGAGAGAGAGAGAGAGAGAGAGAGAGAGAGAGAGAGAGAGAGAGAGAGAGAGAGAGAGAGAGAGAGAGAGAGAGAGAGAGAGAGAGAGAGAGAGAGAGAGAGAGAGAGAGAGAGAGAGAGAGAGAGAGAGAGAGAGAGAGAGAGAGAGAGAGAGAGAGAGAGAGAGAGAGAGAGAGAGAGAGAGAGAGAGAGAGAGAGAGAGAGAGAGAGAGAGAGAGAGAGAGAGAGAGAGAGAGAGAGAGAGAGAGAGAGAGAGAGAGAGAGAGAGAGAGAGAGAGAGAGAGAGAGAGAGAGAGAGAGAGAGAGAGAGAGAGAGAGAGAGAGAGAGAGAGAGAGAGAGAGAGAGAGAGAGAGAGAGAGAGAGAGAGAGAGAGAGAGAGAGAGAGAGAGAGAGAGAGAGAGAGAGAGAGAGAGAGAGAGAGAGAGAGAGAGAGAGAGAGAGAGAGAGAGAGAGAGAGAGAGAGAGAGGGAAAATGAGAAAGTTAGCCACCAGGTCTGGGATTGGAACCACAGCGGACCACATAGGAGTCCAGTGCGCTTAACCACCACACCACCTGCTGGGCTCCCGCTGCCCCACCCCACCCTGGTCTTAAATTCTTAAGGGAGAATTTTGTAGGGAAAATCAACCAAAGTCTGGCATTCAACAGAACTGAATTCAAGTCCTGACTGCCATTTACCAACCTCATAACCTTAGATAAATGAGTCTATTTTTCTATCCTCACCTTAATACTATTCAATTTCTGCTTTATGTGAGAATGAAGGCAAATATATATTTTAAAAGCCTATGACAACTAATGACATGTGTTTCTTTTTTCTGTGCTCACTATGGGGAGTGGGGGGGGGGCAGCTCCCAAATAGGGTATGGTCATGCCACCATCCATTTTCCTCCATTTCTCCTTCCCTTTAGAATTTTAGGCATGCACACATAAGCTCCTGGAATGTTTTCAAGCCACTGAGGATAGGCTTTGAATCACAATCAGCCCTGTGGGGTCTGTCTATGGAGCAAGCCCAGAATGTTTCTTTTTTAATTATATTTTTGATTCCAGAAGTATATTACTATATCCTAACTATAAATGAGTCAGTTGATACCAAAATATATAGAATAGCTCAGCATGTGGCCAGTTTGGGGCATGTTCCACTGGCATTTGAAAAGAATCTACTCTTTGGGGTGTAAATATATTGATAGATTTCTTAAAGCAAATCCATCATATCTTCTAATCTCTAAATACTTAAGTGTTTGAAAGATAAGAACTTTTTCAAAAATGACCATAATTTTATTACTATGCATAAAAATAACAATTGAATTATCTTTAGTCTAAAATGACTGCTATGCCTGCTTTCTTTATCTGTCATTATACTATATACTGCCTTCTAACTTTGTACATTGAATTTTTTCTTGTAATTTTGTGTGAAAGAGCTCTTCAAAAAGTTCTGGAAAATACATATTATGAAAAAGCATGCACGGATTTCAAGTATTTTTGTACCAAAATGAACCTGTACATTAATTCCATTTTTTGTAAACCTTTTGAAGTATCCCCAGTATATACAGTGTTGTTGTTGTTCTTTTTATTAAAAAATAGAACTATGGGTTTACAACTCAACTTTTTCATTTAATTTATCTTAGAGATTTATAAATGTTAGTATGTAGAACTCTTTCTTGTTTCCTGTAATGGGTGTCCAACATTTTACTATATGGCTATTACCTTATTTATTTAGACTGTTTCCTACTGATGAATAGCTGGGTTGCTCCCAGTAGTTCACTATTTCAGAAATGCTGAATGATGACTGCTATTAAATAGATCTTTATGTACTGGTGTGAGTGTTATTATATAGAACAGATTCCTCAGATGAGGACTGATGAAGCAAGAGGTTTGCAGATACTGCCAAGTAAGTAATGAGTTTTTTATATATAATCCTGAAAGAAAAAAATGGGTAGTTATTTCTCAGAAAGTGGCTCATATTCACATGTAAAATTAAAACAAAAAGTAAATGGAAATGGATTCAGCAATCATCAGAAAAGAAAAAAAAGTAACAAGAAACCACAGTTAACAGAAAGCATAAAGTGTAAAAATAAGTAAAAATATAAAAGAAATGGAAGGGACCAGCAGTTAGCGTAATGGCTTTGTCACTGAACTCCCATGTAGCCGACCGTGGTTCAAGTACCAGACCTGGTGGCTTAAACTCACGCCAGGTGCGTGTGTGTGCGTGCCCAAGATCCTGAGAGGAGAATGGAGGAGAAGGGATTGCGGTGTGGCCATCCCCCCTGGGGATGTCTCTTTCTGTCTCTCTGTGTCTTTCTAGAGAGCACATGTGCCCTATAGCAAAAATCTCTCAAAAAAAAAAAAAAAAATAGACATTGAATAAATATAAATGAGTTATGTCAAAAAGTTCACAGAAAAAGGAATTCTTGACTACATATGAGGATACATACATAAAAGGAACTAAAGTACAAGTTTATTTTTGTCCAAAATGTTAAAAATCCATGTGTGAGGGTTTTTTGTTTTGTTTTCCAATTTGCTATAAGGCATGCGCACTCACCAGAGTAGGAGGGTGGTGAAAAAGCACGCCCCACTAGAGAGGTGGCCATGCTGCAATCCCTTCTCTTCTATTCTCATCTCAGGATTTTGGGGGGGCACACACATAGATACAGCTGCCATGTTTTTGAAGCTACCTGGTCTGGAACTCAGACCATGCAGTTGGCCATTTTAGGTCTCCCTGCCTTAACCACCACGGCACTGGCTATCCCCAGCTTTTTTATAATACTTCATTTTCCATGAACTTTTTGAGGACTACACGCACAGACATGCACACACACACTATTATATATTATATATTATATATATATATAAAATACATATATATGATGTATATATAATACATAATATATTATATATATACACACTATATTATATATACATTACATATATATGTAATGTGTGTATAGAGAAGTATCTTTAAATATATATCAAATTGTCAGTTATTTTCTTTAGGAGATTTCTATTTTCTAAGTTACATTTTCAGTATTAT